ATACTCCACAATGCCCTATGTAACCCAGGACCATGTCGAACACTCGAAACAAAGGGGTTTAGGGTTTAGGGTTCAGGGTTTAAGGGTTTAAGGGTTTAGGGTTTAGGGGTTTAGGGGTTAAGTTCAAGCCCCCAAACTCGAAAGCCTCCCCTTCCAATCGAATTGCCAATCAATGTATCGGCACGCGTTCCGTTCAGGTCTGCTATGTTTAGTAAACCTTTGTATAGTTTACACAATAAATGCTATGACTATGACTATGACCATGACTCTGAATATGCCGATATGGCTCTGGCTGCAGCTATGGCTATGACCATTCCTGCCTATCCCCGTGTTCATACAACTTCAATGTCTGCCACAGGTACCTGTACTATGATGATGCTAACCTTGAAGTTTCAACCTGACACTTGTACTCTACTTCGTATACTTCGTACGCCTATTCATACGTCGGGCTATTCACCGCTACGGCCCTTTATACCCTTCCCGAATGTCAGAACATATGACCAACTCACATAAAATCCTAAACCCTAAACCCTAAACCCCTAAACCCTAAACCCTAAACCCTAACATGAACAGTACACATCCGAAGAGCAACCCTATGAAACCCAATAAAGCCCTTCTAGGGTCCTAATGAGAACCCGGTAGAGGGGCCTTCGATAGAACCCTTTGGAACCCTGGAAGATTCCTTACAAAGAGCGCCTTGCAGGATTGGGTTTCGGGTTTAGGGTTTAGGGTTTAGGGTTTAGGGTTTAGGGAGCATGAAAATACTTAAAGGGTCATACCCTACCCCTCTTTACAGGTACCTAGGCTTTTATGGTCAGGATCTGATTTTAGTACAAGTAGGTACCCTAGAAACGGTGTAGTGTATGACGCTATAGGTAGGGGCCTGCATAAGTCTAACCAGGTTTTGGGCTCCTTTTACAGTGTGATTCGAAGAAGGAACCTCAAATAAATAATTTTTGTAGCTAGTTACGCTTCTATGTGATTATGTGACTAAAGGGGGCCCGGTTATAGAACCCGATATAGTACCCTTTGAAGGGGACCCTATCATAGAACCTTATATATAGTATCTTGTGAAGGGGCCCTATTGTAGAACCTTGTACAATATCATTCAAATGGGGCCGACCCTATGATAGAACTTAAACCCTAAACTACCCCTAAACCCTGAACTCACCCTAAACCCTAAACCCAAAACTAACCCTAAACCCTAAACTCTAAACCCTAAACCCTAAAATGCCTAAGCCCTAAACCCTAAACCCCAACCCTAAACCCTCGTATAGAGCCCCCTGAGCTTTGAGATCTGAGCGGCGTCTCTCCCAGGCTCGATCCCTGGTCCATCACCGGACTATCGCCATCCTCCGGCCGGGGCGGTTTAGGGTTTAGGGTTTAGGGTGTAGGGGTTTAGGGTTAGGGGTTAGAGTTTAGGGTCAGTTTAGGGTTTAGGGTTTTAGGGTTTAGCGTGCGTTTAGGGTTTCTGGGGTCTTTCGCTGTCTTCCTTTTGTTCGTTCAGGGCTTAAGGGTTCGGTTAGGGTTCAGGGCTTAGGGCTCCTGCACCCTGTACCTCAAAACCCTAGAACCCGAAAACCTACACCCTGAATCCTAAATCACTCAATCCAGAAAGAAGGTCCCTTTAAAGGTCCCTCCTTTAGCCCCTTGATAAACCCTAAACCCTAAACCTACAGCAACTTAGGAGCCTTGAGTCCCTTGACTGCTAGTTCTCCAGCTTCTTTGGGGAGCTGAAGTACACAAGGCAAGGCAAGGTTGTGTCCATCAGCGGTACCTCCCACAACCGCCATAGGCCATGCTCTAAGAACCCGGTCCCTTTCGGGCACAGCAGCCCTATCTCCGACATCAAGATGAGAAACCCGCGCCTCATCTTCAATCTCATAGATCCAGAGATCCGACATATTCTCCAGGTCATTGAGGTGCGACACGATGCACCTGAACGCTTGAGCTGTAGTCTTAAGCCCTGAAGCGCAGGTGCTGAACTTCAATGCCTACAGTAGCCCCACGATCCAGCGAAAACCCTCGCAAAAAGGCAGTTCATGTCAAAGCTCTTGGTAACAAGATGATGGGAGGCCTGCTACTGGGCACTCAAGGTTTCCAGCCCCTACTTACAGCCTGCACCACGACTGCCAACAAGACTACCAGCCGCGCCGACACGACTGCCACCGCCGATAAGGCGAGAAAGATGCTGATGACCACGACAATGCCCGACCACATCACCGCTGCTGCCGCCGCCACCGCCAC